TTTTCTTTTTTTTTTTTTTGTCGGACTGCTGAGTTGTCACACCGTGACGCATTTAGAAAAGGTGACTCTCTGTGCACCTTGTGTGATATTTAACACCGTTTGGTTGATGAGATATGCTGCTAGTTAGCTGTCAACAACAACAACAGTCCTCTTGGCTAGCCGTGTAGCGGACGAGAGCTAGGACGCTAGCCGCAAACTTCCGAAGAAGTTGTGTTGAGTCAGATTCAGCTGTCTGACTGATATATGTTAACCAGCACACCGGTGTTTTAAACGTTTCGTTAACTCTGGTCGAGCACCAGGGCGACAGGAGAAACTAATGGCAACGGATGTGATCGAGGGCGACGCGGTGCTGAAGGGTGTAAGTGATATGAGTTTGAACAATAGCAGCCCAGATTTTGTCACACCCAGGAGGACTCATGAGGAGCCGGGAAACAGACAGACTTCTAGTCCCTCGTCTTCTGGGGTGTCGGGAGAAGGCGACGAGGAGGAATTGGACGACTTACAAACTAGCACACCTTCTGCAGTTGAAAATGGCGAAGAGGCTTCACTTCAAAAGAGTCTAACCAAAACAAGAGGTACGCCGCAGGAAAGGAGAACCCCAGACAATGAGCAGAAACAGCCGGGAGCAAGGAGCTCTACCCCGGTGAGCCTTCCCCAGCCACGCTCACCCCCTGGACCCATCGGAAGGTATGTATGCGTACCTTTTTCACGGTCTACATGTTGGCAACCTAAAAATATGACCTGGTTTCATGTTTCCATGCAAGAATGCTGTTCTCCCAGAATCCAGCACCTGATGCTCAAGTGTCTGTGAAAGTTTTCCAGTGCACTGGGTTTGATGCTGACTAGTGTCGGATCTCTGGATCAGTGCGAACTATCTCAAATAAAAAAACATGGCTTGTAACAAATTTGCAGACGGTTTTCTAAAATCAGTGTTTGGCCTTTCAACAGGCATTAGCACCTAAAGACAGGACACATCCTTTGCTAACCTTTTTGGGCATTCCCCTGTTTGCAGCCTGGCCAGAAAAGCAGGTAAAGTAGAGGGCCTAGAGGCTGAAGCTGCTATGAAATGTATTTCCTGAACATTGCAGAAAGGATTGTCACAATAAGAGAAATAGCTGTACAATCTCATGTCCTTTTTTGCCCCGCCGCAGCCAAAAGAGCAAGATCATATCACAGTAATGCAGCACAACAGCACCAGAGACTAGGGTGTGAAAATGTGTTAAATCAACACTTGTTTGGCACAATCTCAAGAAAAAACTGCAAACTTCAGAAATGTGCTATACTGCAGGGTTATTTACAAGTGTCAGCTGTCTCAATCCTCTGTAGGTTTTAGTTTAGTTTCAGCTGAGCAACAGAGCATCCTTGGGCTGACTCATAAACTTATTAGGAAGATGACAGATCTTTCTCTCTGGTTCTTAACAACAAGGGTGGATTGTTTGTTATAAATATGTGCACTAGTTGACACATTTTATTTAACCACAATGAAAGGGTATTTCAGGATGTTATCAGCCTTTTTAATATTATAAATTCACATAGAATAACAAGCAGTTTTATTGATTATTGAGGAATTTCACTTAACTAAAGCCAAAATAGGCCTCGTTACTGTATTGCTAAAAGGGAATAAATTTAAAAAATGTAGCACGGTATATAGTAATAGTTTCCCACCTTTATTATCACGAAGATGTGATGGAGTCATGTTGTAGTATTCCTGTCAAGATTGATGAAGTCATGACCATAAAAAATAACTTCTCAGTAAACATTTCAGCCAATTCCTTTGATCCTATTCAACGTATTTCAGTTTATTTTCCTTTGTTAAGATAACATAAACTTTGTGTGACATGTAGTCAAAAAACTTGGACCAAAAAGTTTTCGGCAGGTGAAAATCAATGATCTGAAACCGTCCACCATTGATCTGCAGCCTAATTCACCTCACCACACACTGCATTATTATTACAGTCTTTAAATGGTCCTTGATCTTTTCTATGTGACTCCCTGATGTGGCTGATTCCACTTACGCACAGGTTGGCTCTCAGTGCACTTTGTTTGCAAGGCTTCCTTTTCAGGAAACCACATTCCTGTCTCCAACTCTTAGCTCACATATAATGTGAGGATTAGCACCGTACATAAGCAAACAGCTAAACTGATACGTTACGAAATGTTGAGTACCAAATGCCCAGAATGTTTCTGTGTCTGGGAGCACAAACACAGTCATGTATGTGATTAATGCATCAAAGGGAGCTCTGTACATTCAGAGATACAGATACCATGATCAGCATTAGTAAGCAGCCTTATGGTTTATGGGCTAAACTAAGCCCTCGACACAAGCTCGTAAGCTGTTCAAGAAGCCAGTGATCTGATTACGTGGTCAGTTGCAAGCTGAAACTTTTGCCATCCTCGATCAACATGCAGGACTGTGAATTGTGATAATAATAAGAATAATAATGAACTTTATTTATACAGCACCTTCAAAAGCGGATTTGCAAACTCGCTGTATACAGGTTTCGATGGACGGTAGTGAAATTTACATAAAAACACACCTGAAAGAAAGCCTAGCACAATCAAGTATAAATATACAGATTACAGCAAATAATCAATTCTAAAACACGTACAATACATACGCTTTGAACAATAAATACAAATGAGAGGTGAAATAATAAAACCATAGCAAATAAAAGGTAAGGTAAAAGAAAAACAAGACTAAAAAGGAGCATTTTCAGAAGAGAGTTAAAGTGATAGACTCAGCCACAGCTGGCACATGATGGCAAATGCTCACCTTATTTTTGTAATTTGGAAACTGTAATGTGGAATTATATATTGATTACAGCTGTACCACAAAACATCTGTCCAGTAGCTGGTTGAACAAAGGTTATTTTTATCTCATATTAAAGTATTTGGTTGTTGAAAAGGACCCATGGCCCCCTTTAAGGACAGTCGTGATAATACATAAGCACGTACTGTCTGGCATATAAACATAAACAGTGGCTTCCCTGACTTGATATAATGCTAGGTGGGAAGACTTAGACTTCTCCTTTATTGATCCTTTTGGGATGACTCCCGCAAGGAAATTGAATTTCCAGCAGCTTACAAAAAAACAGTGTAGAAAAATAAAGAGGTATAAAAAAAAATAAACGGTAAGTAACAGGCGAGGTTGACCGCAGCACATGAAAAGCTGTTATTAACCTTCTATTATACATTAAATATAGGACGTTTAAGGTCCACCCTAAAAGGCATTTTTAATTTCATTTGACTTATTCATATTGAATTACTGAATCTGTTTTCAGTATTGTGTAGACCCCCGCTCTTGTTGGCAACGTGTATAAACATGAGCTTTTGTGTAACTTTAGTCAAACGTCTCTGTTGTCATCCACTAAAATCATAAAGGTTTTAGTTGCTGACGTTTTAACCCACCAACAAAAATTGCCTTTGGCTCCTGGTCTGCGTTTCCCCCATAATCCTTTGAGGATTGTACAAGTCACAAGCCACTGTTGACAGATAACCATTTATGTGTTTGGATGTTTTAATTCATTTTTTTTTCATGGATAATCTCCGTTGGCCCTGCTCTTGATCTTTAAAACATTTGAAGTACAAGAGGGCCTTTTAGCAATTAGAGATCGTTAAACATAAAAGATGGCATAACCTTTTGGGGTTTTCATTCCTAGCCTGGAGCGCCAAGAGTCAGTCGCCACAACAGAAGCTCGTCTAAGGATGGAAGGAGTTGAACTTAAAGAAGAGTGGCAGGATGAGGACTTTCCACGGTATTGTCGATCATCTCAAAATGTTGTTAAATGATGTGTGGGCAATGGTTCACAGCCTTTTATCACGTGTTTGTGTTTTGAAAGTCACACGGACAACGCTGAATTCATTACCACCTCCTGTTTGATTATCAGGCCCCTACCGGAGGAAGAGGAGCTTGAAGATGAGCTTTTTGCAGGAACCTCTGAAGAGGGAGACCCTGGTAATGAAAACACAATAGTATACAGTGCATTGCTCCAGTGACTCAGGAGGACATGTTCCCCTTTTTTTTCTCTTCTCTTTCTTAAAAGTCACACACTGAGCGAGTTACGGGTTGCTGTCATCATTCCTGTTCGTTCTTGTTCGTGCAAAAATGCATTCTAAAGTTCAGTCGAAACTAATATGAGTTCTCAGCAGTCTGAGTGAATCAGGGCAAGAGGGTATCTTCCATCGTGGTCTTTTTAGTACAAAATCCTTTCAGACAACGTTTTCTTTGCTGAGCTGCAGAGGAGAGGCAGTAACAAAGAGGGACTTTTGTTCTAAAGGACTCTAATGTTAGAAGATACCTCTTGATTTGTTTAACTTACACTAATGAGGCCTCATATTCAGAAAGCATTCTTGCACAAACAAGCACTCTGGATGTTCAAGGAAAGATCTCTTCCCTACTTCTGAGCACTGTATTACAACAGATTAGGAAGAGTCTGAACCTATCCTTAAATGGCTCTTACAAACTAACCACTGATGATTTGGCATCTACCCTAGGCTATGCAATGAACCACGGCAAGAAGGCAAAGAAGAAGCTTGCCGCTCCAGACATCAGTCTCACACTCGACCGCAGTGAAGGTTCTCTTCTCTCTGACGAGCTGGATGAAAGCACAGAGCTGGACCTCGACGACATAGACACACCTTCAGACAACAGCAATGAGTTTGAGTGGGAAGGTAAGAACTTGATATGACACGATGGACGTGATTAGAGCTTTAATACTTACAGTCATATCTTATAAGCCTGTTGGTTCCAGTTTGTGTTGTTCATACTGAAAGTTCAAATAGTAAAGTTTAGATTGACTTGATGAGATTGGGGGGTGCAAATATATTTTCAAACTGAACTCAGATAGTGCGTGTCATTTATTTATGAAAAGATTTACTCTTCTTGGTTGAAGCAAGTTATCAGACCAGCCTTTCATTTCCTGGTTTTTGGACCCATCTGCGTTTTCCTTCCTTGCTCTTACAGGTTTGGGAAGGCAGCTGACTTTTAACTGTAGTTAAAATGTGCTTTGTTGTTTTTGTGTTTCCACACTGCTGCCTTCCTCTTTTTCACTTGGAAGAATTGTTTCCATTCTCAGCCTGGAAACAGGCTGCAGGCCAGCAACAGGTTTCTCTCTTCCTTGTGGTAAGGTCTCTTGGACAGACCCTGTTTTTTTTTTTTTCTGCCAACCATGAGTCAATCAACCCCTATTGTCCAGATTATGTTCTGTCTTCAGTTGTTCAAACAAATCATGAGGAGGTTCCGTGTTTCATAACCTTCATTTTCAGTTAATGTTTTTGTGCATGTCATTTTTCCTTTTCCTGCCAGATATATTTCTGTGTTTGAGGAAACAATCAGTAGAAAGTTGTCGGTTAAGAAGCGGTCTCATGTGCGCAGTAATGCTGCAGTTATCACATATTAGCCATTTTAACATTTGCTCACGTCCTGTTTGGTTATTAGTCATTCGGCGTGTCACACACGTCACAAGAAATAACACAATAAATGAATACATTATAGCATAATCTTTTAATTAGAGAGGCATTTTACCACTTGAATCTTACATTATAAGATGAGATCTTAGGCTATATTGATGTCCACATGGGGAAATTAATTTGTTGTAACAGCACAAGGACGGGAATAAGCTCAGATAAACAGAAAAGGGAAAAAAAAAAAATAAGAACAGAATATTTAGAATAGAAATTATACAAGAGAAATTAAGAGTAAGTGAGAGCAGTGTGACTAGTAGTTATGTTAAGGCCAAATCTATATATGTGTATCATACAGTGCTCTAAGGTAGAAACTCAGATCAGTTTTTGGTATATTGAAGAAATAGGCCACATGCAGAGAGATCCTTTTTATAAATGTGTGTTGCTGTGATTTGGTTGCACTCTTCCCTTATTTTCGATTCTGCTTGCTGCATGCTTGATATACATAATCATTGTAACACTTTGCTTGATGTCGCATACACCCTACAAAAGATGCACAAAGGTCCTCAGGGATTACAGCAGTGGTGTGTTGCTGTGGGAGTGGGTGTTGGAAACATGTATTTCCATTTGTTATACCGTGACATAACAGTGTCATGCAGAGTACAATAGCAGGAAATTGTAGATTTTCCCCCAGGAAAAAGCTGACCTCAAGTGAAAGGGAGACATGAAAGTTGAGATGTGATTGTTGGTGTTGATTCGGAGAGAAAGCATGCCATCCGAAAACAAAACATAAAAACAACAAATTAACTGCAATTCTAATGTCCATTGATTAAAAATGCATGTGATTCAAACGTTCAATTATGAATTATTGAGTGATCTAAACATTTAATAAATGATTTGACCAAAATATATGTAATTTGATGACATCAGACAGCCCTCACACCCATTGGGGGGGGTGTAGTATCCAAGCTGTGGGTTTAAAATGCCTCTTCTCTTTTAGACGATCTCCCCAAGCCGAAAACTACAGAAGTGCTGCAGAAGGGTGTGGAGTCGGTCCAGGAGTACTCGGCCTCGGAGGAGAGGGAGGAGGGTCGACGCTGGAGGGTGTTTCGCATTGGAGACCAGGAGCACAGAGTAGACATGAAAGCCATTGAACCTTACAAGAGGGTTATCAGCCATGGAGGTCAGTGGCATTACATTGGGAAATTGGCACATGCACATAAATATTCATTTGAAGTATGCCAGTGCCCTTTTAATTTACAAGATGAATTGTTGCTCTATTACGTTCGTGTTTGGCATGAGTTGATCAGGCTGTTTATTTAAAATATGAAGTAAAATACGTTTTAAAATACTGAATAATCTATTTTTCATGTTTGATTTTTCTCTGCAGGTTACTATGGAGACGGTTTGAATGCCATAATTGTGTTTGCTGTGTGCTTTATGCCTGAGAGCAATCAACCAAATTACAGATACATCATGGACAATTTATTCAAGTGAGTGTTTATTTGAATTCCTCTGGCCTTACGAGTAGCCAAACATTTTATAACCAGAGCTAATGAAATCTTCCCGTCGCAGGTATGTCATTGGCACACTGGAGCTTTTGGTCGCTGAGAACTATATGATTGTGTATTTGAATGGGGCGACCTCTCGGAAAAAGATGCCAACTGTCGGCTGGCTCAGAAAGTGTTATCAGCAGATTGATAGGAGGTGAGTCTGAGCGATAGGTTTAACAGCAGACGCAGAGGCATCAGCCCAGTCCCGGCAACAGCATGGACGTATACAATATGTGATGAAGTTGTTGATGGCTTCTCTCACTCTTTCTGCAGGTTAAGGAAGAACTTGAAGTCTTTGATAATTGTCCATCCCTCTTGGTTTATTCGCACCCTGCTGGCACTCACAAAACCTTTCATAAGGTAACAGTAAGAAGCAAATAATGAAATAAAGGTCATCTTGGGTAACTTTTAGATTATGACATTTCCTGCTCTTTTTCCACAGCTCCAAATTCAGTCAGAAAATCAAGTATGTGTACAGCTTGACAGACCTTGCAGAGCTGGTTCCAATGGAGTATGTGTCCATACCAGATTGTATCAAACAGTAAGTATACACATCAGCACTTCTTCTTTTTTACATCTTACAGCTAGAAAACGCAGTTCATTTGAGCAATTTACGTGATTACTCACTGGAATTAGTATATAAACCATTACCACATCAGTGTAGGTCACCTTCTATTTCTTCCCTTTTAGAAATTTCATCAAACCCTCACGAAACCTAATACAAAACATCTTTTTTTACTTTTATGGGTTCCCAAAATCTAGTAATGTTTTGTGCTTCTACAGTATCAGCTCTGACCATTCCTGCAGGGTTTGGTTGCATTTCATCTGTAGGTGGTGCTATAGCAGCATTTTGCTCTCGCTGTGTTGCCAGTAGGTATGAGTCTGACCTGCTTGGCATTTTGTACAGTTGATCTCACTTCAAAGGCCTTAAATTCCCAGGCAGGATTTAGTTATTTTCTAAAATCATAGAGACTGTCTGTTCATAAGGACAATTACTTACTTACTCTATATGTATCACGATGGAGTGCAAACCAGAAATACATTTTCTTTTGTAAAATATACATTTAGAGCAGTTATGCACAGAGGTCTTTAAACATTTCAACTGGCAACATTACAGAAAAGAACTGCATCTGGATAATTTTGTGATATAAACTGCTATTAAAGAATACATTCTTCGTTTTGTGTTAACCTTTGCTGATATGCATAACTGTTGAGCTCATGCTGAGAAATTGCTCATACTGTATTTTTCCTTGATGTGGCTTAACCTGAGGCGGATCTTGTGTCCTTTGACATTTGAAAAGACTTCAGCACAAATACTCATCTTATCAAATGTGTTTTGCTCTTTTGGATGTTTGGTTGCTGTTGGCTGTGTATTTCTCCTTTCCTTAACTCCATTTCCCTGCCCCCTCTTAAGGTTTGACGACGAAAAAAATAAGAAAAGCCGTAAAAGGTATATGCACTTTCACCCAGGATCAGTCTCAGCATTTTTTGCATTTCACAAAACTAACAACGAAACAATCCGTTGGCTTTCAGAAATGCACCAATACACCTCATTATGTCACGCGTTTTTGTAGTTGGATGATTTGCTGTTACCTTCTAGCCAAATTTTCTTACTTTCCTCCCCCGTGTCCCACTTTTTCCTCTCTGTAGATTTTAGCAAGTTCCTGAAAAGCAGGCTGAGAAGCTGTTTGATTGGTTTCCAAAAATAGGTGGCTTGGTGATTGTTTAACCAACTAAATCCCATTTTTGACCCAATTCTGTGACGTTCATCTCAAAGCCAATTCTTGTTAAATGTTCTTTTTTTATTTATTTACTGCCCAATAATTTTAGCTGTGTGTGGTTTAAAACATACATAACATACGTACCTTTATGCTTTTTGCTTTCTGATATTAAAGTTGGGACATCAAGTAGGACTTTCTTGCATGTGTCTTTAAAAAAAAAAAAACAGGTTTAGAATGTGATGCGGTTTATGTTGGGTAAGTTTGTTCGTGTTTCTACTACTCAACGGTGTGGAACTACAGGGAAGTAGCTCGTCTTATGGTTTCACTGTAACCATGTTCCTAACATGGTTCCTCTCTGCAACTTGCCCTCACCAAACACTCGGCTTGTCCACTCTCACAGCTCTTTGCATGACTCACTGCATACCCACTCCCTGCTGATGTTTAGTAATCACAACAAACCCGGTCAGCCTTGCTCATGCACACAGATTCTGCTCATTGCCGATGAGTAGCGAGTGTTCAGTTGCTGAGGTGATTCATTTGCAGATATGTCGTGAGATGTTAGAACATTAGAAAAGTAATAACTGTGGTGTTTGTAGAAGAGACTCGGAGGCCACATTTAGTTATGCTTCTGTTATTATGTGCATGAAGTGTCGATAGACAAACTTGCAAGACAAATGCACTAAAACCTCACACAGTCCCGTGGATTTAAAGCAAAGACTTTCTGGTGGTTTCAACAAAAATAGCACATTTTAAGCCCAAAGGTTGCACTCGTCACATGACTATGGAATGTAAATATATTGTTCACAGGTTTGTAAAGTACACATTAGTGCATTTGTCTTACAAGGTTTCAAAGGATGTGAGAACCTAATAATAATAATAATAATAATAATAATACAGCTGATCTAAATGGTTTGTACTGCCCAGATATGTTAAGTGCTAAAAGCAGCATGGATTCTATTTTTATTAATATTAAGTGCATTCATTTGTATGGTGGAAATAGGTCTGGTAAGTCAAGAAAAATAATTATTCTGTCACACAAAGAATTCTCTTTGTAATAGTGTGAAAGTAATGATCACATTTCAGGATGTGATTATATGAGAAGGGTGTTTATGGGCAGTGTAATATCCTGTTATGACTTTGCTTTCAGTTATCCTTGCTCTTGTCAGACAGATGTCTTATGACTGTTGAATTTGTCTGCAGAATCGATCAGGACATGCACGGCAAAGTGGAGATCGCTGCTGCCGCCGTTCCAGAGTGACCCTGCTCGCACTGCAAGATGTGGAGGAGGAGAACGATGAAGAACGTTTAGAACCGCTGCCACTCTTACATTTATATTCTGGGCAACGTGACTGGAGACTTCGCTCTTTGCATAAAGAAAGTGCCTTTTTGAAACTATGCTGCCTGTTACATCATGGACGTTTTTACAGATTGGTCCTCTGCGTTTTTTTTCCCACATGCTGTCTGAAATATTTTTAATCTTTTTTTATCTGCTGCTGGTATATTGTGTCAAACTTAGCTTATTGTGTTCCAATAGTTACTGTTGTATCTACACGTTATTTAAGGCACTCTGTTACAAATGGTTGATGCATGTTCTGCTTTATTACATTTAAATATATATTTATATTCAAAAGGTGACAATGGGGAGAAATTAATATATTTTTATGGATGCTCTGATTTTAAACTGCATTTTAGGTCTCTGACCCATTGAGTGGCATTTCATAGAAGTTTTGACGGCACCTTTTTCACTGTTCACTGCTGACATTCTCTGTTAAAATCCTGCCTGGGGAAAATAAAGTTGTTTTTTTTGCCCCTCACTTGAATATGCCCTCTGACTTATGGAGGGAGAACATTTGAGAGAGCAGCAATCTGAAGCAAAGATGTAGGTCTTAATGTAACATTTCCTCCAAGTAAAATCATGGATCCACATCCTTGTTTTGTATTGTTTTATTCCATTTAGTGCCCATTTTGCAGTGGTAACAAGATATCATTATCATCATTATTTGGCACCACAAAGTATATAGCAATCAAACGGAGCATGTTTGACAATATTCAAATAAGCATCACATTAAAAGGTAAGTGGGACAGTGTAATATGTTAACATGGGCATGGAAATAAAAAATGTTCTGCCACACAGGTGCTGCAGGTCCATATGAACAGCTTGACAATCTTAAAATACAGAGGTGATGAGAAATTGAATTATAATTTAACAAAACTGACAATTATTTAATTCCATTACAAGATGGATTGTATTTTAGTAAATAACATTAGAAAGGTAATAACTATGGTGTTGAAGAAGACACTATATAACAGTTACAGTATACATAAATATATATATGGTATTATAAATACTATATATTGGGTGCATGAGTGTCTTAAGTTCCCATGGATTTTTATTATTATTTTAAGCCCAAATGTTGAACACGTCACATGACTGGATTGTAATATGTTGTTCAGAGGTTTGCAAAAATGAACATCCAAAGAGTTGTACATGTACAGTAAGTATATGTATACAATATATACAGTGGTGTGGTGCAGATAATGAAAGCAATTTGTGCACCAACATTGATTGTGGTCTTCTGCAGTACATATTAAAGTACATATTATTGCATTTGTCTTACAGGGTTTCAAGAGAAGTAAGAACCTAATAATAATAATATAGCTGATATTCATGGTTTGTACTACCCAGATATGTTAAGTGCTTTCAGTAATAATAATAATAAGATTCACAGATGATGAGAAATTGAATAACTGACAAAACACTAACACTAACAACACAGTACACAATATGTACAATTGCAAGATCGATTGTATTTTAGTAAATAACTTAACAGGAGCAAAATATTTTAAGTTAAAGACCCTTAGCAGTACTTAGATAAATTAATATTTTTTCCATTATGTTTACCTGTTCCCTTATATGTTACATATAATCTGTCAAATTAATGCAAGCTTCACAAAATGGAATATGGATCTATTAACAGTGGCGCTTGGCCTAAAGCTTTGAAACGCAGAACTGACTCCATACATCTAATAGCAATATCATCAATCTCAGGATCAAACTTATTTGCAAAGACATGTTTTTGTTTCAGGAGCCAACTGAGGTCACCGGCTCCGTACACACAAACTGCTCTTCTGTAAGAACCAGTGCAAGGATAGTACGGGGCCCCATGTCTCACATCTCCTGCTTCATAGCTCCACTTCACCACACGAGCAAAGGCCTGCATGTCTGACGTATCGTACTTGATGCTAGCAGGCAGTGATCCGGGAACGGAGGGCATCCTCATTAGCGTGGCCCACAAGTGCTCATCAGGGCTGTATGTGTCCTTCTCCCACTCCAAAAGTTTCTGAACCTCTCTGTCCTCCATCACATGTTTCACAAAAGCTCTGGTGACCACAAAGTAAGCATTTCCTGAGAACATGGGGCTGCTAATGGGTGGGGGACTTTTCCTCACGTCTGTCCTGATGACGCTGTCAGTGACATCGTAATGATACTGCCAACGGCCCTTTTTGTAGTCATTGGTGGTCTCAGACTCCATGCTGTTTCTCCCATTGAGGGCCTTCAGTACCTTAATTATCTCTCTATTGGTTTTGATGGGGAAGTCCGTCCCGCAGGTGTTAAGCATGTATCTCCACTTGACATGTGAGCTCAGCAGATCTCTCATGCAGTTCAAATCTGCCTGCACCCGGGACCATGAGGCATATATCACTCTTTCTAATCTAGTGGCTACAAACACGTTAGGCAAGCAGGAAACAATTGCCTCCACAGCCATCTTAAATTCTTGTGAGGATTTCTTGTCCACATGCACACAGTAGATGTTCTGAGGAGTGTAAATAGCTCGCAGAAGTCGCTCAAACATCTCAATCTTCTCATGGATCACCATGGAGTAGGCAATGGGAAAATCCTTCTCTTCTTTACTGAGAGGCATCGTAATGAAACCTCTCTTTTCAATGTAAGCTGGACAGTCTTTTGTCTGATTGAGGTAATAGTCCTCAGATAAGCTATTCTTTCTTTTCCTGGAAGCCAGGAGCACTTCTAATTCAATTTGCCTGCCCCCTGTGTCTCCGGTGATGATAGCTGAGCAGCCTGGCAGGTCAATAGAGAACTGCTGTGGTATTCTGAGATCAGACACTGACTGCCAGTCAGAGTCAGTTCCCCAAAAGAAAAAAGAAAGAAACATACCCACGAGGATGAGAGAGAGGGTCTTAAACAACTTCTTGCCATTCAACATTGCAGAAACCATTTCCTTGCTTGATCGGACTTCAACGGCAGTTGGTTAACAGAAGTGTCCTTGTCTGGTCTTCAGTGCAGATTACAGTTTTACTAAACAGGGAGAGGCTGTAGTGTCTCATTTACTAAGAAACACCACCTGAACCAACCCTCAAGAAGGTGTGTCAAACAAAGTTGTGTAAATTCTCTGAGAATATCTTGCCACACTTAGTAAATAAGGATCCAACCAGCTGCATGTCCTGGTTGAAACTGTTGATGTTGTATTTACTAAAGGCTACTTAAGCTTTAGGCAATGACAAAGGAGTTGTTAATTTTATTGTATAGAACGATACATACATTTCCATAACCGCCTTCTGTAGCTTTCACTGACACTAACATCTCATTTAATTCATTTTTGATTGAAAATTAGACTGGCACAGTGAAGTCATTCCAGTGTGCGGTGGTTAATTTTGATGTTTTATTACTTGGTCCTGTGACTAGTACCTGACTGTTGTTGGCAGTGCATGGGGAGTTTTGTTTACGAGTTATAGCCATCATGTTTAGAAGTGCTCTGAGGGCATCAAGTGGAAAATATTTTATTTAATTTCTATTTACAACAAATCATGCAGATTTCAATTATTACACACAATCATTTCACTGTTTTAATGAATATCCCTTTAATGTCAAGTAAAAAAAAACAAAAATGTCCTATACAGACATGTATATGGGTTTTTTCACTGTTTACTCACAAATGCCCGATCTAAGAATTGTGCATTATAGAGATACAGGCACTTTGTAGAATAAAATAAACACCTGGACTCAAAGAGCAACATAACCAAAGCAAAAATACCACTACATTATCTTCTAAACATCAAACTATTTTGAATTCACTTGTCATTCATTCCTCAGTTACACTAAGCTCTTGAACATATCTAAGATTGATTGAGACATGTGTTCTCATCCACATCATGGTCTGCCTCTGTGTCCTGCTCATGGATAAAACTGTAGCGCCGGTATACTGATCCACCTCTGCTGGTGTACACCACATCCACCTCGTCTCCACTGTCCGGCTCGGGAACACCGTGGGGCATGTTGATGCTGGCGCTGCCACTCAGTCGCTCATAGCTCTGGCTCCAGCAAAGCCTCTTCCTGGCATGGGCCTTGACCAACGTAAACACAGCTAGTGCCAACCCCAGTGCTAGCAGTAGGGCAATAGGCAAAGCGGCTGAGGTGTGCTCCAGAGCTCTAGATGACATACTCAGGTCTGTTGCCTGATTGTGTCCTGACTTGGGTTGGGGGGCCTCCACACACAGAGCTAGAACATGAAAAAAAAAAAGCCTTTTAGTAAATGGTCGTATCCAAAACAATCCTGTTTCTTATGATAGGCAGGGTGTCTACCTGAGCGGCTGTCACAAACACAGCAATCAGTATCATTCCCTCCAGCCTGACAGCAGCGGGCACATCGGTTCTCCACAGCATGGAGAGCAGAGTCCCGGTGACAGGTCAGACACTGGTCGGGCCTGGGGCCGGTGCAATGCCTACATGAGCTGTCACATGGCTCACAGGTTTCCTACAAATGGGACAATTTCACAAATTATTGTACTGGAAAAACATGTCAGATGTAGAAATATGGCCAGTCAGTAATGGGCTGTTTTATAACAGAGTGAAAACCTCTTCGTACCGACATCTGTTGTTGTGATTTGCAGTAACTAACTGTCTGCACCAGAGTTATTATTTTTATTTAGTTTTTTTTTTATTGCTTTCAATTCAGTTTAGAGTGAGTTTGCTACTTTCATATAGTTTTTATTGTTTAAAGAGTTTTTGTTGTTTTTATTAGTTTCAGTGTTAGTTTTAGGGTTTTTGTAAATTATAATATGTGGGTATTTGTCAGGCGCTTTACGATTTAAGGAATTCAGAATAGGTATTACAATACAATCACCTTGGCCTTACAGTCATGTAGACACCCAAGTCTCAAAAAACATTTAAAAAAATATATATATATATTTAAATATATATATACATATACCTATAATAACTTGTGGTCTGCACTTTGTGTTGCTTATCGTAGAAATATGCTACAAAAGGTAAAAAAATTATAAACTTGATTTCCTTTCTGAAGTATTTCAACAATCAAAGGTAATGTTTGAAAAAGATATCCTAAGATAGTTCTTATTTAATTAAGCACTTAACACGCTCTTTATCATGATAAGAAGCACACCGGCCTTTCACACAATTTTAAATGAGTCATAAGAGCACACCTCTACTGAAAAGTAACGCCCCTCCTCACAACGCGGATAGCAGACTTTGTCCTTTAGAGTGCTGCCCCAGTCGCATGTAACACAGCCCTGAGGCGAGGCATCTGCAAACACAAACATGCTCATATTATGTGACTCCTTAAACTGTCTGTTATCGACATAGTAGACTGTTACGGGCAATAGCGTGATGTTACAAATCAATCATCACAGAGCTCCTTCATGTGTACCTGTGCAGGTCTGACAGCTGGTGTGGCACTGTTTGCAGATGTCATTCAGATTATAGAAGCGGTGTGGGCAGCGCTCAACACACAGCTTGGTGCCTTGTAGCTCCAGAAGAGGAGGTGAACAGGCTCTGCAGGACTCAGGCCCTGGTCCTGTACACAGTTCGCAGGACTGGTCACATTTCTCACAGTGGGAGCCCTCCCTGTAATACCTACATGTATGAAAAAATGAGTCACAATTAATGACAACATTTTGTCATGATAATAAGGAATTTTAAATAATAGTTTTCAGAGTAAGTCCTGCTCTGTGTTTTTTTGGATCAGTGAGTTAAAGGGTGGGGATTAACAGTAATCTAATAGAAGCAATGTTGTAATACAAAGTAAATATTAGACTATGACCAGTTTTGTACCCTGTGGGACAATGTGTGACACAGAGTTGAAGGAGACGCAGGTATCCTGGAGAACAAGTGAGGCAATCTCTAGCCGATGCTCCAGTGCAGGTGGAGCAGGCGTGGTCACAAGGCAAACAGAACCCCAGCTGTGTCCCGTCAGCCTCCTGCCTTGTGCTGTATGTACCAGCCGGACACTCGCTCACACATGTGCTGTCTGAAAAAACAAACAATACAAGATTTACTGATTTATGAATACCCACTCTGGCACTTTTTTATTTTAATTTTTAATTCAATGAAGAGTTGTGGCTCTCATCTTATACGATTCTGCATTGATTTACAAATGCCAAAAATATATTTTTGTAATAATGTTAGTTATTAACGTTGTG